GAGGTTTTGGCCTACTATACCACACTGCCCAGACGGGTTGGTATAAGGTTTGTGTCAAGTTTTCCTACTCTTTACAGTGCTATTGTCTTGCATATTTTGCCACTTAGTCGGCTCTTACACCCACCCACGGGATGAATATAACGTAGGTATAAGGAGAGACCTATGTCCAGCGGTGGACTATTAAAGGCTCTCACATATAGGTACATACAAAGTTATAGATTCACTTTCCAGATTTGTTACCAGGTAATAAAACCGTGTCGGTTTGAAACCTTGTTCATTACTAACCATGATTAAAACACCTTTACCATCGATTTGAGGAAATCGAAACGGATACAAAGAGCACCCAGACTCAGAACACCAATTTGTGGATCATACAAAGTGTCGTCCCATTTGGTGTTTGAACCCACACCACTCGGCGTATAAGGAAGCGGCGTGGCGACCGCTTAAACCAGTACACCATCCGTGCAGTCAAGTCTTCTTCATAACGCTGATTACTTTACATACCTACTGGTACTTAAAATTTACAAACTGGGGATTCTTGAAATATTCTCTTTGAATAACTTCTATCAATCTAGTATCTAATCTAGGTAAGATTGTTTGGTGAGAGTATTTGAATAAAAATACCAGAATCAAAGAACTTTATCCGTGTGGTGACGGATTAAGAATACGGGGGTCACCACCCCTTTTCATCCTATGGGTGTCGTAAGAGGCGACTAAGGGAGCAAACTACGCAGGGAAACAGCACTGAAAAGAGAAGGAAAACTTGACACAAATCCTATACCGACCGGTCTGGCCAGTAGGCCAGTAGGCCAGGTCAAAACCTCCTTTCTAAGGAGAGGCCTATTTCCAGCAGTGGACTATTAAAGGCTGTTGATGATGATGAAAGAACTTTAACAAGTTAATGCTCCCACATTTATCACTCATTTTTGTATACTTTATCTCCAGTAATCTCTTATAAATGCCAGTAGTAATTAATTTTTAAATACATTTCTTTGAAACACAAAACCCAAATGTAACAAAAACGTTTTTGTGTTACCCAAGATTTTTTTCAACAAAAATGACAACAGTAGCAAAATTTGTCACTTAATCCCTTCTTTACCACCCACCTAGTTTTTAAATGATTCTTCCAAACAAGTTAGAGCTTTATGCATATTATTATAAAGATTAATATGTTGTTAAAAATGAAATTCGGACACTTACAAGGAAACAAATATTTATATCTATTAGTAGAAAGGTAATCAGTCGTGGTTCCGTCAAAGGCTTTTAACAATAATTCACTTGTCATTGAAATTGTTGACTGTAAAAGTTGTATAAAAAATTAAAAGAAAGTAAAATTCTATTTCTAATAATGAAATTTCAATCTTACACGTGAATAATAAGGTTTATTCTTTCAAAGTGCAGTTTTATGATGCTATACGAGTACAGTGTGGTTGGAAAAAAAAAGATCCTGTCTGTTGGAATTTAAACCATGTTTAAAACTTTTAATGCTTATATTTCTAAAGCTAGCCTATGCTTCATTTGACATAACACTCTAAATGTTTAAATTGGTATATTATTTAAAAAGAGATCACTGGAGTATAAGTTAATGTACTAAAAACATATTTTCATAGATCGTGTACTCATTTCCTGGATTTTACTTTACACATTAAACATCCGGAACTCCCACGGCTTTAAAGAAATGATGCGCTAATGCAAAATTCTACTTCATTGCATTTGTTGTAGGAAAATATTGTCAGATTGTGTATATTTCAAATTAGAGTTTATTCACACTTTGTGTGTCAGAAAGTTGCTGTTTTCCATAGGACATCAAACTGAAAACCAAAATCATAATATTCTATGATGGGGGTGTCGTAAGATTTAAAATAAAGCTAGGAAACTTTTGTGTTTTGTTAGTATGTTAAAGCCTACCTGGATCATAACGGTTCGACGCTTTACCAAAGCTATAGGGAAAGTACTGTATAGGAATCATCAGTCACAGTAGACTATATAAGGGGTTCAGGTATGACCAAAAAAGGAAATATCTGAGTACTCCGGCAAACTATAGAGCATACAAACCTTGTCGCTATTCAGTATAATGATTAGTGTGCGAGTGTTTCTGCTGGATAACATCCAGCGCTAGCAAGGAACCACGAATTGTCAATATGCCTATGTAATATTTTAGATTTGCAAAGTTTAAGAATTTGCATTGTTATATTACGAAAACGTAGTACTTGACAGGACTAAAATAATTTTTAGTGATTTTTAGTTTAGTTTAGATAGTTTTCGAACAATAGAATTAGCACCATTATCATAGTTATCATTTTTATATATTAAGTAGAAACAGTCTTTGAACTTCGACAGCTCTCTCGAGATACATCTTGACGAATTTCCTGGATACCAGGATTGCCTCTCATTATTTTAACTATTTATTAACATTATTAATGCTAGTTTTTTTTATACGTACACGGTTGTGGACTGTAGTTTATTTAATCACATTGTAATCACCAAAAAACAATTCAGGTGTATAAACAATGCCATATCACTACACGTGTCGGTTCTCAACCCTCAAGTGTTCACGTGCTCGATAATACCTGTTTATTGAGAAGATAAAGGGTTAACTTTATTAATCAATTTCTAGTTTATAGACCGAATATTATTTTTGTAAGGTGGTTTGTTTTTATTATCAAAGGACTGACTGGATTTGTATTTAAAGGAACAAACTTTATTTTAAGACCTAAATAAAAAATACTTCTGTTGGAGACGTCACTTTATTTTGAGGATGCCGTAGTCAACACTGAACCATAATATTTTCGCTTATCGTCCGTCCTAGGCTTAGCAAGAAATTAATAGAACGTTTTTATATGGCATAGGTTTACATATTTATTATTCATTTTAACTTATTTAAATCTGTATGCATTTATATTGTACGAGGCGGACTTAATGCCATATGGCATTACCTACTAGTCAGCTTTTGAAAGTTATACAGACTGTTAAATGTATAATTTATACAAACATATATACAATATATACGCATATTACAAAAAATACATATTTCTATCACGAAAAGTTGTGAAATTAATGGAAAATATTAAATAAAATACACGTAAAGTGGTAATGAATTTTTTGTCCCACCCATATACTGAGTTTGGTTACTCGTATACCTATAGGTCTTTTAAAGATATTGTGGGTATATTGAAAAGGTTTCATGCGATTCAAGGATCCGTTTGCAAAATATAAAGTTTTTATGATTCCCTTTTTTTAGAGTCGAATGACTCCCTCCTCGCTGGTAACTAATTAGTAGTTTAAAAAAAAAGTTAAATGACAAGAGAATTATCCCAGATAACTAGTTTTTACACAGTTTATAAACATTTTAAATGTAATAGAAGAAATAAAGAGCAATATTGAAACTAAATCCCTTTAAAAATTACTAATATTGAGTTGTCGAATAGTATGTAGCGCTTGGCCCGACACGTACTGGCGCAGAATATTATATCAAGCGGTTTTGCATTAAGAAGAGGTAAACAAGCGGTCATTGTGGCCTGCAGACATACACTATGTAGGTATAGTAACCCACATTTCATGGTGTCCGAGAAAAGAAACAAACATACAACACTACTAAATCAGTAGAATGATTTCCACTGTTCTCTTTCAAATCTTACTTGTATTACATAGAAAATCAGTTTTAAAGATCATCTTTTAATCGCTATTTCATAAACAGTATACTACTATTTCACAGTTGGTTAAGGTTACAAAAATATGTGTGCTGTTAATCTGTTGTTTTAACGAGAGCGATATGCTAGTGCAGCTAATTGGTCAGACCTGATCAACGTATACAGGCTGTTGTTAATTTTTATTAGAGTCCAATTTAATATAGAAGTGAGTTGTGGATTCGAAACTATAAATAGCTAAACTAGAGTGGATCAGGGCCTACTTTCTATAATTTATGCAGCTATTTACAAAAATCATACTGAAACAAACAGAAAAAAACGTTGTATTTTGAAAAGGCCGATGTTTAGTCATACTAAAAGTTGTTAAAATAGCAGTGGACCGTGTGTTTTTATTGATAAAAGAATTACAAAGGAATTTTCATTTCGTCCAAAGTCCAAAGTTCGACAAGAATTATTTACTTATCGTTAACGAAACATTTAAATCCAACTCAATCATTTCTTTGTTCGCCAATATGATACCTACCTAGGGACCTGCAATCGAAGGTTATTAGGTAGAATAATTATATGTACATGTATTTGACAGTACCTAATCAGATTAGAAATATTGAATTTGTAGTATGCAGTAGTAGGTTAAATCAAAATCATCCCTTACCCTGCTAAATTGAATCCGTCGAGTTTACATTTGTATATATCATTTTCATATGCAACTGCGACTGTCGGCATCAGGGCGACAACTAAGGTGGGCACTGAAAATCAGTACTGAGGTGGCATCTGTCCACCACAATGTATACTGAGGGTCCACCTATTTTCTGAAGCACGGCGTACCATCCTCAGCACCATTAAAGGTTTTTATGGTACACAAGTTGATAAGTACTAACATAGTTATTAGAAGTAACATTTTATAGACGCGTGGTTGGATACGTGGCACATTGACGTAACAGGTCCATACTGTCAGGGAAAAATGTTGCCTTTATCAAACCTTTCTTGATTTTTAGTTTATTTGTGGATGTTAATATTTAACTTTTGTTTTATTTTTGGACACTGTGCTTTATGAAATAAATAATATTCTATTCTATTCTAAACCTGTGTAAGTTTCACATATCGTAAAAGGGAAACTGGTTACAATAGTACAGGCTCTGCCTAGTTTTGGATCAGTTTGCTATGTGTGAGATGTGTGAAGTTATTTTTATTATGAACTTGACTTATTAACAGATAAATTGGAAAGATTAACACCAACCTGTACGTTCAAAAAGGGTATCGTAATAATTGGCCACATACGGCCAATTAGGGAAAAATCGCACCGTTACCAATTACACTAGACGTATATCGAACCCTGTACCATCGGGTATCGTCATGATCTTCCACACAGTAGCCTGCATTCTGGGTTCTATAGTTACTGTAAATGGATTCACTGGCTCCGATGGTAAGATACCGTTTTTTTTTTAAATTAACGACAACTCCCGCACTAGGAATATATACCGTGTTGCGGCAGGGCACTTTACATACATACCTAACTATATGAACCGAAAGCAAAGACCACGTAGACTCAGAACAACAATTTATGGATCACACACAGTGTGTATGTGTACATAGATGTGGGGATCGAACGAACAACACTTAGTGTAGAAAAAGCGACCGTTTAAACAGAGGTGACCACTTAAACCTCTGAGGAAGACTGTTCATATTTCAGTCTTAACTTAAAATATAACGTGAATATATAACATAATCATCAATTGTGCATATTTGCAAGTTTTTCATGAGCGTAATTTTTTTGCTTATTAAATATTAATAATCTTTATTTGGAACAAGAAAACAATATACAATTTAAGGATGTTCAATAATAGTCACATTAGTTAAAAACTGTGTCGTGGCTCTAAACGACCACCTTCAGGAAGGAGACGAAAGCATCGTTCCATTGATTACAATAAAATTTGGGTATAGTGTGTCTGTGTCTGTGTGCGCAAGAGCAGAACTTTCTCACCATTTTTCCACCAGTTACATCATACAATATGAGTCCATAATAAATGCATAATACAAACACAATAAGATAAACATAATAGATCAGAACCAATTTTAGTTAGTAGTACTTTTTTCAGATCCTCGCTTAGGACGTGGTCGGGGCGCTCCCATGCCTGGAACCTTAAGCTCTGTAGGAGGTTCTGGTGAAGAATCGCCACCAATCTACAGGCCAGGATCGCAGGCGTAAGAATACCTAAGACTAAACAATAGTGATTTATAAATACTTGTGCTTATTAGGGCTCAAGTTAAAGCGTAACTTGGTTATTCAACCGTAACGATTGCCACGGATGATAGTAAGGCAACCGGGAGCGACGGCTTCACGTGCTCTCTGAGATATAGAGAGGTCTCAGTGTGTTAATAATGGTCACTCATCCATAGACAGACCTGGCTATGATTGCTTTACTTCGAAATGTGTTACGACCCACTACTTTAATAATAAAAATCTACCACACCGCACATACCATCTGATGCAAAACTAGGCAGAACCTGTATTATGGTACCGGGCTGCTGATAAACATACCAACGCATAACATATATAATAATATATTACATGCAGAGGTTTTGTCCTATATGAAAATCGAACCCCACAACCTATGGTACACCAATTGGGATATTTAACCTCTAGATCAACATATACTTTGCATACACGTGCATGGTCTAAGTGACAACGGTGATTATGAATTTTGTGTATTCATTCGTACTCTTAGAATAATACAATTAGTATAATAAATTATACGTATAAATAGATGAGTTAGTTCTAGACATTCAAAGTTGAGAAGGTATATCTGTCCTACAAAATTTAACTTCAACATTGGACATAGCTAGCCATCAGGGAACTTCCGAGGAACTTTAAAAGCAACAATCTTGTGTAGAAATCTTACCAAAGCTGAGAAACCCATAACATTAAGGAAAATATGTTAAAAGGAAATATATACGATAAATATATAAGGATATATTAGGCCAAAATCTCCTGTCTAAAGAGAGTCCTATGTCCAGCAGTGGACTATTAAAGGCTGTTGACGAAGGAGTCATCAGTTATCTAAATGGACCCTAGCTTCTTACAGGTACGTCGTTTCCCAATTCGTGAAACCAAAACCTCCCCACCAGTATTGGGAAGAGGAGACCAGTTTGGATCTAATACCGGAGAACAAGAACTGCCTGTTGTGTGAGGCGCAGGACTCTGGAGCCTGTAGGGCAATGCCCTCTTGTGTGTATTGTGAACCAACAGTCACGGCCCTCTGCGAGAGAAGCACACCGTGTCTTCGGTGCACTGGTAAGTATATACACTACTTCTATATAGATAGTATATATATTATTTTAGTATAGGAAGCAAATAGGCAAATAGGGTCGCATAAGGGCAAGTGATTTGATTTATTAAATAATTTATTAGATTGCCAACTCCTTCAACTTTCTAAGACAGTTATTTTTTTATTGAGACTTCCCGAGTGTCATAACTCGGTATGTTCGTGGGTCATTGCTATTGGTCCTGGTGTCCAGGAGTTAGGTATGTACACATGAGTAACAATTTTTTTAAGGAACATTTTCATGGTTTGGGTAATAGCTAATTTAAAATTAGAGTAAATAATTGGTTTAGTGAACGTGCAACCCACATACAATATTTACAGTAATGAAGAGTAAATCGTTCTTTTTTTTTTAAACAAGGTAACACAAGTTCGTTCCCGTCCTTTGAGTGTGTCTTCTTTCAGAGTTAAGGACGGGTGGAGGCTTGGATCTCTTGTAATCACTGACTCACTCACTCATTGGGTGAAAAGTAATGAAAGAATGGCTTAATACCGGTTTTCTGTGAGACCATGTTATCATTCCGGTCAAGCTACCCCATACCTATATGCCGAAACGTATCTCTCATACCTCAATATTATATTAATCTAGAGTCTATATTAAGCAAGAGTCCGCTCCTAACGATTCTGGTCTGATGTTATAAAATCTACCTTATCAGCATCAACATCTACAGTTAGTAGTCCATTGGTGGCCTCTCCTTAGAAAGGAGGTTTTTTTGCTCCTTAGAAAGGAGGTTGCTTGCAAATAATCAAAATCTAACTGACAGTGGCAGAGATTGGTATATTTTTACAAAATATTCCACAGATTGACAAAGAAACACACATTTCAGTAAATTAATATAATGAACATTAATACCAAACAATAGTATTCATTTTACGTTATAACGGCATTCATTACTATAATCCCCAACCACTTATATCGGTTAAATAGGTATATGAGTAATATATCAGTAATAACCCGATCAATGTATGAAGTTTAAAATTTAATCAATTGGGACTTGTTATAACGCCTGTGTAAAATCGACGAGCAAAACTACATATTAAATTTTATACACCAATTATAAATAGGTATTAAGAAATATTAAAACTTTTTTATTCAATAAATAGCCTCTAACCCCTAGTTTGCTAGTCATGAACTTAACAATTCTAAAACCCTGAGGAGTCTTAACCTTGTCCAGAATGAAAGGTACCCTGTTTCCTTTTTAATGAACCACATGAAAGTTCAACTCTCATTGAACTATATATATTGTTTGAAAGTAGCTGTTGAATACGGCTTTGCTGTTATTTTAAAAAAAAAGTTAAAAGTTATTTAAAAGTTATTTTTTTATGCATCGCGCCAAATTACAAATTCTCATCGATAAGGACTACGATAAGACTAATTATCGTCAAACGGCAAAACATACTATTTCGAATTGAAAACAGTATTAATAATTTGAAAAAGTACATCGGTTTAGGAGCTTTGATGCCACATACACACTCCTGAATACATAGATACACACGTAAAACTCACACCTAATTTTCAGTGTCGTATCCATCGGGGTCAAATAATATTTTCTTTTCTGTTCCAGTAATAAAGAACCCGTTCTTCAAGTGTATTCCAGGTGAGAAGTACATGGATGAGTGTGACTCCTGCCGCTGCACTGACGGCCACAGTGGCTGGTGCACTAACCAGTTCTGCGAATTCAGATCTTTGTATGTTTATGCTATGAAATTGTCTGATGGAGAGTTTTATTGATAAAGGGATTACATGTATTATCTGTTTTTAATTTTGTTGCCTTTGCCAGCATCATCATTTCTGCTGCCTCAATACTGCTTTTTTTATACAGTATGACGTTGCATAACTTTTAATTTCTATTCATAACAAAAAAGTTTTAGCAGAAATTAGTGAATTAAACAATATAAAGTATGAAATAATTTAAAGCCTAACCTAACGCCTGCATCATTATGAATTTTAATAAACGGTATTCTTCACAGTATATGGTATATCTATAGTATAGAGTAGAGCTAGATGTAATTTTTATGACCACCTGCAATGTGAGCCCCCTACTCCAAAATAAGGCAGACGGAGAGTTTGGGGCTCCACTGTGTTTGGGTAACACCAGTTTTCGTTTTCACGTGGTATCACTCCAGCCGAATTATGACTCTCGCACTTGGATAGGAACTATCAGGCAACAATATAAATGCATAGGTAATTACCGTTGCTATGATGAAACCTGGATTCTGTGCGGATCCAAATGGCCTGAAGTAATATCCAGGCCACAGACTAATCGCCTCCCCGTCAGATGTCCATTCCCTCAGTATGATCGATCGTTTAATAACTTTCATATTATAGTCATTATCACTATATTAAATTTGTAATACTACGTCATAAATTATCAGTAAATGAAGCTCATTATTCCCTTACTGATAACAGATTTGATAAGAACTATACGTGTATTAAGTTTATTGTTTTATGATATGATTGAGGCCCTATTGTAATCGATTTTGTATAATGATAATGTGATGAGGTTTCCTTTGAAACGAATGAGTTGCTTATTAAAAATCGATTGTAATTAAAATTATGTCAAAATCGGTATATTAGTCCGTGTGGTGACGGATTAAGAATACGGAGTGTCACCACCCCTATTCATCCCATGGGTGTCGTAAGAGACGACTAAGGGAGCAAACTACGCGTGACAACAGCACTGCAAAGAGAAGGAAAAGTTGAAACAAACCATATACTTACCAACCCGCCTGGCCAGCGTGGTATAGTAAGCCAAAACCTCCTTTCTAAGGAGAGGCCTATGTCCAGCAGTGGGCTGTTAAACGCTGTTGATGATGATGGGTATAATTAACTTTTTTAAAGTTTCTAATCTTCATCCTTTAGTTTTTACCTATAAGACCAACCTTGACAAAAACGAATTCACCAGATAACTAGTGACCTTAAAGTAGTCGAAAATGGCGTGTCATATCAGTGACATCTAGCACCGTTTATTAGTGCATAGCTGCTCATCAAGGAACATAGCGCACTAAACTTGCACTAGTTCCTATAAGGCTATTACATATATCCGTCCCTTTTAACGGAATCACTCCCATATATAGCAGGAAAGTGAGAGGAAAGTGAGTAAGAGGAAGACGGAACGGACGAAATAATTTTACAAACACGCGTAAAACACACACAACAAATAAACATACTTATATTTTTCTAAATACGCACATAGTATATCTTGACTACACCCAGACTCAAAATATTGTTATTTTCATTATACAATATTCGTCTTGGGTGGGAATTGAACCCTCCACCTCTGCCTTAACAGTCAGAATCGCTGCTCACTAGACCAACTGATCTTATCCTGCCTAATATTTTGTTCATTTAGAAAAAAAGTGTTCATGTAGAAAGATGACCAGAGACAGAAATTGCCCTCTATAACTTCGACACCTTCATTAGAAATACAAACAAAATAACACCCTAAAACCAAATACCTTATATTCCAGTTAACCGAATAACAAAATTCGCACAAATTAAAACTATTTACAATCAAACTGCATTGAAAACGTACTAACACCGTTTCATTCCCACGCGTCCCAACAATAAACTCAATAAATAAGAGAGGGTTTGCTTTCGCCAAGTAATTCGCGAATTGGCGGGAACAATGGTCACGGTGACATATTTGCACATATTAACTGCAAACCAGTGAATATTGACTCTCGTGAGAATTGGCACTAATTTAATTGTACTACGAATGAGTTATTATAATTGCTCACGTAAATAATTATAAAGAGTGGTTGGCGTAAAGGAATTGGTAAGGAGGTAGAAATTCGACCGTAATTAATTAAATTATTGATAAGAGATTTCTTCTTTTTATTAATTATAAAGTTCTGTCTCATTAACATATAAATAAATAAAAGTTAAGCGACAAATGTGTTGTTAAACGCATAACTCGAGAACAGCTGGACTAATTCGGCTAGTTTTTTTCCATATTTTTGCTATCCTTAATTTTGATTTTCTATCCATAAGACCCTTCCTGAGAGATAAATGCAATAATTGTGAGGTAAAAACTACACATTTACACTTTACTACTTTTTTCCTGTACAAATCTCGGAGTAAATTTAAACACCTGTTCCTAACTGTCAAACATTTCGACGTCAATTAAAATCTTGACGTCAAACAAAACAAAGACGCGTTTGGACTGAATTTAGTATGCCTTCAAGTTGATTAGGCTGTGTGGATATTAATCTATGCATGCCAAAAATAAATGTTGAAGACAGGTGAACACTTTTTTGTTTATTTTATTGGACTGCAACAGGCCAATAACTTTTGATATAATAAACTCTATCGGGGTAGCTAGTGTATAATATAAATTTAACCTCAATAGTTATGAAACAAAACTGTAAGTGGGAGAGCCATGCTTTGGGCAACAAATGGAAAGGTTCGAGTGGAGTAAACGGAATACCACGGCTTCACAGAAAACCGGTGTTCAGCGGTTCTTCTTCGTCCGTGTGGTGACGAATTAGGAAACCCTGTATCACCACCTCTATTCATCCCGTGGGTGTCCCCTAAGAGAGCAAACTACGCAGGACAACAGCACTCCAATCAGAAGGAAATCTTGACACAAACTCTATGTCAACCCGTCTGGTCGGTGTGCTATAAGAGGCCAAAGCCTCCTTTCTAAGGAGAGGCCTGTGTGATGTGTAGCCGTGGACTCTTAAAGACTGTCGATGATGTTGATGATGAAGTGGTTCTTTCGTTACTTTTCTAGTGAGGTCATCGGACACTTAAACCCCCTGATTTTGAAGGGAGGACTCAAATTTAGCTATTATCTCTCTGTCTCTCTGTAGAGACCAAACCAATTTTTGTTTGTGGGGAAGCTCAAGAGTCCTCAGGTCACCGCCAAAGTTCAAAGCGGTTAACATCACTTGGTGTTCTGTACCTGGATCCTAATGCTTGGCACAGTTGTCCATCGAAAGACAACCCTGTGAACCCCGGCAAAACCTTAATTTCCTGCGCTACCAGGAAACCACTGACTATTGAAACCACTACCATGTAGCTCATTTTATTGTATGTTGTTGTTTCCGAAGAACCTAATTATTTTCTTTAGAAGAAAAAATATATTAGAAATCAAATAATTAGTCTTCTTCTTCTTCCTTTACGTCGTCTAATATAGGAAATGAAATTTTTACTTTAATTGTTTGAGTTGAGTTGAGTTTGATTTTTCTAAACTGTGAACTAAAAACTTCTACAATTTACTGTCTTAAAAAAGTAAAATAAGCTTGCCATAGGAATTCGAAGGTTTCTTCAGTAAACTGTAATAACATCGCCCTCACCAGAACCTCACGAAATCCCCCACAAAATCTAAAAACCAAATAAAATCTCTAAGGTACTGTTAAATACATATAAAAATATATTTAATATAATACCGATTTAATGAACATGAGGTGAGTGGTAGTAAGTTGGGAGGGGGTTGGTTAGACTGGTAGCCGATGAGCCTAAAGCCGACTGAACTAATATCGGCGCGGGGAGGGGCAATTGACCCAATAATAACGTTCACCAACTGAGCCCTAAGGAATGCCGCACACTGATACGTAAAAAATATTACTGTTCAATTCGTGTACGTTTTTTTATGGTAGATTGGTTTACGTAGATTTTTTTGGAATTCTGATGTTTTATTGGTGTACTTCCTGTTTGGACTCATTCTAATTTCAATTTAAAAAAATCTCGGTAAAGACTTCTCGGAAAAATAAGGAATGAAAAATATAGTTAACTAAACTTCGCGGTAAAAAGCCTATGTTTTTGCCTGGGGAAAAACATATCTTTATACTAAATTTCATCTAAATCGATTCAGTGGTTATTGATTCCCCATACAAAATTACACCCCCCTTTCACTTCCTTAAAGGATAATTTCTGGGATAAAAACTTCCTATGTCCTTTCCCGGGACTCGGACTATCTTTATACCAAATTTCATTTAAATTGGTTCAGCGGTTTAAACGAGAAGAGGTAACATACAGTCAGACAGACAGAAAGACAGACACACTTTCACATTTATAATATTAGTATGGATTATAATTCATCACGAGGTATGTGCATTGGAGTGATTTGTGAATCACACAAAGTGTCGCCCCATGTGGGGATCGTACACACTCAGCGTAGTAGAAAGAGGCGCGGTGACCACTTAAACCACTACGCCATCCGTGCAGTCACTTTAAGCATTTAGGTTAGTCCACCGACAGGGTCCATAGTTTTTGCATTCTGTAGGTTTTGAATTAAGAAGATATTGCAGTTTTAAGCTGTTTCTTTAGTCTTTTATTCCAATTTGAACGTTTTCCACATTCTGTGCTCGCCGACCCTTAACCTAGGCCGGTGTAAAGAAGGGTACAAATCGCTGTATAAACTTAATATCGGCTAAATTGCCGGGCGCCGCGGGGCGGGGCGGGCGCCGAGGCGCGGGGGGAGGTGTACAAACATCTAGCTTTTATTGCGATCATCGCGTATTGATTCCGGTCATAAGCCGATGTTACAAGGATAATTTCATCTGATGTGGATATTGAGTGGTTTGGCCTTTTATTGGTGTCTTCCGGTTAGCTGGGTATATTTTTGCTAAATATATATTGCAATAAATAAACTCGTATCGAAAATAGTAATGAACGTTTTTGTGCAGTTTTAGAACGAAGTTTCTTATCGCGCGGTACACGCTCTGAGCTGAGCGAGACCGAAAAATGTGTAAGAAGACTTTTTTCGACACTATAACAAACGTCTA